GCTACAATCTCATTTGTTCCTCGGGCTGAGAAAGGTTAAAGATCTGCAGCTCTTCTTGGTGTCTAGTCTGGAATTGTGCTATGACTCCCCACCTATAGAATGTGCTATGTTTTAGATCCCTGCCTCTGGTTGTTGTCTTGATAGGAGAATTTATTACAAAAGGATGATTTTCTCTGGTCCCAATCTTTTTCACTTTCTTCAAGGCCCCTGACCTCATACCTGGACCTGTCATTTTTAGTACATAATGTTTTCTCCCACTTCTCCTAGAAGTATGAACTGCTTCATCTTCTCTCGTTTTCAGAATGTGTCCAGGTGTTCATACATACTCTCCACATTCCCCGCTTTCTTATCAAAGACTTCTGTTAGGACACTTGGTTTTAACTTACAGAAACCCAACTCAAACTAACTTAAGCAAAACATTACTATAATGATCCTGGGCTATCTTGGGAACCTTTTGTGTGACTACACTTCTGGGCATTATTGGAGCCAAGGGCTTCTCCATCTGGACTATTTTTTGTTTATACAGCTCTCTGGGGCTGCTTCATTATTTTGTCTCACTACTGACCAGTTCTGCCTGTTCTACATCCACCTGATAATAGTGGCCAATAGTGCTCATATAACACCAATAGTGCCCAGGTTTGCATCTCCTCTTTTCCAGAAGCAGTCAGATGGAGCTGGGATAGCTCAATTCTGATTCCAAATTCCCACTGATGCATTCTGATTAGCCAGTTTGTGGCAAGACCTACTTCTGGACTAATGAACTCTAGCCACAGGGTCAGGTCACAGTATATTACCATGACCGTCCCGAGAGTAGCCATCTGAATGGAGTAGGGGAAAGGCAGGAGGTGGGCAGTCTCCAGAGAAACAGCAGGAGGTCCCAGAAAAGGAGGGGATGCCAGGATAGACCAAACAATACACATCTATTCCATGTTATCCCTTCTCTCCAGGCAAAATGCAAGATCTTTGGTCTTTAATACCACTGCTTCCTATCTCCTTCAGATCTGGTTTCATTGATTACCCTCTTTTTCTTTTACATTTTAAATCTGTTTCTCTACTCAGATTCCTTCTTCTTAGGCTCATATTTGCTCAAGGTTCTCCTGTAACTGAGGTACCTCCCGTAACCCTTCTTCAGGCTCCTGTCCAATCTGTGTACCTTTCTTCTTTGCCAAATAAATGTCATCAGCCCTTACGTGGAGTCCCTGGGTGGCACTTGGCTGCTGATCAAAAGGTTGGAGGTTCGAGTAGAGCTAGATGCACTTCAGAAGAAAGGCTTAGTGATCGACTTCCAAAAACTCAGCTATTGAAAATGCTACGGAGCACAGTTCTACTCTGACATACGTGGGGTTGCCATGAGTCGGAGAAGACTCAACGGCAATTGATTTGCCCCTTATTCACACTTTACCCCAACCTGGCCCCCTCTCTCTTCAGTCCTTCACCTTCATTTCCCCCAAGGTGTTTCTTTCTTTTTTTTTAATATTTACTTTTATTTTTGGTGAAAATATGCAAAGCAAAACCTGTTCCCATTCCACAGTTTCTAAACATAATGATCAGTAATGTTGGTTACATTCTTCACATTGTGTCATCTTTCTCATTATTTCTATCCTGGTAGTTTTGTCTCCATTTACTTAATTTCCCTGAATCCAACCTTCTCATCTATGCTTTAACCTAAGGTGTTTCTTGGTCTTTGAAAGGCTGAAGCCAACGCAGAGTGAAGGAAGTGCGGAGTGTGTAGGCCACTGTCGAGGCCCTCCCAGTAGGTATGACCTGTCTGACTGCCAGTGTCAGCTCCCTTACAGCATGTCTCAGGAGCCACAGAGCCCAGCTTCAAGAGGCCCTCTGGTTTGTGAAGCATTGTACTGTTGGAAACAATTTATTCAATTTTTTTTCCTCTGTAACTTTTTACTTACCCTGAGCAAATCATCTATATGACCTTCCTTCTTTTCCTGCTTCCTAGTTCCAGAGAGTCAGTGGCCACAGCACCACCTGGACCCAAGCCAGGGTGCCGATAGCCAGCTTATTTACTGAAGCCTCCCTGGATGAAAGGGACCTTCTCACACAGAGGCCTGGGAAGGTCTCTCTCAGATAAGCCGTTTGCTTCCTCAGATGAGGGCTAACCTCCCATGCCAGTCCTTTGCCCTCTGGAATAAAGAGGAAAGGTAACAGCCACAGGTTTGATCAGAGCTACTTCTTTCAGGGTACCCATGCTAGGACCCCAGCCCTTGGCACTCCCTCACCAACCTGCCTTTCTGCTGCTCTCAGCTACCTGGGTGTTTGTGGGGTCACCCTGCTTAATGAAGCCCTCTGCTTTAAAAAAATTTTTATTAAGGAAAATTTTAGACATATGCAGAGAATAGTTTAATCTTTCTACCACCTAGTTTCAACAATTAGCCATTCAAGGCCAAAGTTATTCCACTTATACCCCTAAACCAACATCCTCCCCATTATTTTAAAGCAAACCTCAGATATTTTATCTGTAAATATTTCAATAATATCTGTAAACAACAATGCTCTGTTTATTTTTGGTTTTGGTCAGGTTTATTGAGGTATAATCTACATGCAGTAAAATTGACTCATTTTAGGTACAGTTCTGCGTTTTTAGAAACTCATTCAGTCGTGTAATCATCACGATATAGAATCAAGATACAGAACAGTTCTATCACCCGCCAAAATTCTCCTGTGCCCCTTATGCAGTCAACCCGCTCTCACAGGAAACCACGGATCTGTTTTCTGTTCCTATAGTTTTACCTTGACTAGATGTCTTAAAAATGGAACTATATAGTGTGTAGCTTTGTGTGTGTGTATATGATGAAATATATATAACAAAACACTTGCTATTTCGAACATTGTTACATGTAAAATTCAGTGACATTAATTACTCTCCCCATGTTGTGCAACCATCACCACTATCCTTTTCTATATTTTTTCATCACTCTTCATAGAAACTCAGTGCCCCTTAAGCAGTAACTCCCCATCCCGCCCCTGGTAACCACTAATAAACTTTGGTCTTTATGCATTTGCTTATTCTAGATATTTCATGTAAGTGGAATCATACAGTATTTGTCCTTTTGTGTGGCTTGTTTCATTCAGCATAATGTTTTCAAGGTTCGGGTTTTAGCATGTATCAGAACTTCATTTCTCTTTATGACTGAATAATATTCCATTGTATGTATGTACCCTATTTTATTTATCCATTCATCTGTTGATGGGGATTTGGATTGTTTCCACCTTTTGGCTATTCTGAATAGTGCTGCAGTTAACATTAGTGTACAACTATCTGTTTGAGTCCCTCCTTTCAAGTCTTTTGGGTATATGCCAAGGAGTGGAATTGCTGGGTCATATGGTAATTCTACGTTTAACTTTTCTGGGAACTGCCAAACTGTTTTCCATAGTGGCTGCACCATTTTACAACCCCACCAGCAATGGATGAGGTTCTAATTTCTCCACATCCTCACCAAAAACTGTAGTTTTCAGTATTTCTATCATAGTTATCTGAGTTGGGGAGTGAAGTAGTATCTCATTGTGATTTTGATTTGTGTTTCCCTAATGACTAATTTATGGGCCCCTGGTGGTGCAGTGGTTAAGAGCTCAGCTGCTAACCAAAAGGTTGGCAGTTCAAATCCACTAGCCACTCCTTGGAAACCCAATGGGGCAGTTCTACTTTGTTCTATAGGGTCACTATGACTTGATGGCAGCGGGGTTGGTTTTTGGAATGGCTGATTACACTGATGTCAGATGGATCTTGGCTGAAAGCAGAGAATACCAGAAAGATGTTTGTCTGTGTTTTATTGACTACGCAAAGGCATTCCACTGTGTGGATCATAACAAATTATGCATACATTACGAAGAATGGGAATTCCAGAACACTTCATTCTGCTCATGTGGAAACTGCGCATAGACAAGGAGACAGTCGTTCGAACAGAACAAGGGGATACTACGTGGTTTAAAGTCAGGAAAGGTGTGTGTCAGGGTTGTATCTTTTCACCATACTTATTCAGTCTGTATACTGAGCAAATAATCCAGGAAGCTGGACTATATGAAGAACAGAGCTTCAGTATTGAAGGAAGACTCATTAACAACCTTTGTTATGCAGATGACACAGCCTTGCTTGCTGAAAGGGAAGGTTGTACTTACTGAGGAAGATCAAAGACTACAGCCTTCATTATGGATTACACCTCAACATAAAACGAAAATCCTTACAACTGGACCGATAAGCAACATCATGATAAACAGAGAAAAGATTGAAGTTGTCAAGGATTTCATTTTACCTGGATCCACAATCAATGCCCATGGGAGCAGCAGTCAGGAAATCAAATGACGTATTGCACTGGGCAAATCTGATGCAAAAGACTTCTTTAAAGTGTTGAAAAGCAAAGAGGTCACTTTGAGGACTAAGGTGCGCCTGACCCAAGCCATGATATTTTCAGTTGCCTCATATGTGTGTGAAAGCTGGGCAATGAATAAGAAGACCAAAGAAGAATTGATGCATTTGAATTATGGTGTTGTTGAAGAATATTGGATATACCATGGACTGCCAGAAGAACAAATAAACCTATCTTGGAAGAAGTACAGCCAGAGTGCTCCTTGGAAACAAGGATGGCAAGACTTTGTGTCATGTACTTTGGACCTGTTATCAGGAGGGACCAGTCCCTGGAGAAGGTCATCATGCTTGGTAAGATAGAAGGTCAGCAAAAAAGAAGACCCTTGATGAGATGGATTGACAGAGGGGCTGCCACGATGGGCTCAAACATAGCAATGATTGTGAGGATGGCACAGGACTGCAGTGTTTCGTTCTGTTGTATATAGGGTTGTTATCAGTTGGAACCGCTTCCACAGCACCTAACAACAACAATAAAATGCCTAACGATGTTAAGCATCTTTTCATGTACTTCTCGGCCATTTGTATATCTTCTTTGGTGAAATTGCTGTCAAGTTGATTCCGACTCATAGCAACCCTAAAGAACAGAGTAGAACTGCCCCATGGGGTTTCTAAGGAGTGGCTGGTTTCCGTAGTGTAGTGGCTGTCATGTTCATCTCACACTCGAAAGGTCCCCGGTTCAAAACCAGGCGGGAACAGGCTTCTTTTGGAGCCCTGGTGGCATGGTGGTTAAGAGCTTGGCTGCTAACCAAAAGGTCACCAATTCGAATCCACCAACTGCTCCTTGGAAACCCTGTGGGGCAGTTCTACTCTGTTTTATAGGGTCGCTTTGAGTGGGGGTAGACTTGACAGCAATGATTTTTGTTTTTTTTTTTTGGTGAAATGTCTGTTTAAATCCTCTTTTGATTTGGTTTTTAGTATGTAACCTTTTGAAGACTTGCCTTTTAAAACATAACCGTAATACCATCATCACATTCGCCCCTCCAAAAAAAATTAACAATAATTGCCTAGTATTATCAGGTATCTAGTGTTCATGTTTCCATAATTGTCCTAAAAAAAATATTTTTATACTGTTTGATTTTGGATCTAAACAAGATCTACACATCACAATTGATTGTTTTGTCACTTAAATTTCCTGTAATATATAGGTTTTCTCTCCATCTTTTGTTTTGTTTAAGAAATGGAATTGTTTGTCATGAAGAGTTTCCTATAATCTGGATTTTACTGATTGCTTATGTGTGTTTTCATTTCCTCTGTTCCCGTGCTGCTAAAATATGGCCTACGGAACAGCAGCATCAGCTTCACCTGGGAGTTTGTTAGAAATGCAGAATATTGGACCTACTGATCTGAATCTGCATTTTTAGTTGGGCTTCATCCCCAGTCTCTGATTCAGTAGGTCTGAGGTGGACCCAGGAGCCTTGGTGGTGCAGTGGTTAAGAGCTGTGGTTGGTAACCAAAAGGTTGGCAGTTCGAATCCACCAGCTGCTTTGTGGAAACCCTCTGGGGCAGTCCTACGATGAATTAGAATCTGGGTTTGTTTTTTTTTTGGTTTGGAGGTAGACCCAACAATTTGCATTTGAGAAAAGTTCCCGGAGGAAGCTGATGCTGCTGGTTGGGGACCACACCTTGAGAATCACTGAGTTAACTATGGGCCTCAAGCTCCATTACAATGAAAAGCTCCTAACGGGAAAACAGGGCATTGGTAGTTCAGTGGTAGAATTCCTGCCTTCCCATGTGGGAGGCCCAGGCTGGATTCCCAGCCCATAACCAGGTTTCTGTGGAGCCTCTAGACTACATCAGGCTAGGAAGAAAGGCCTGGTGATCTACTTCCAAAAATGGCAGAGTGTTTCATTCCAGTGTTTATGGGGGTCACTGTGGTTGGCTTCACGACAGCCAGCAACAACATACTTCTCGCTTCATTTATGCAAATGCTTGCATTTTTTTCCCTAGGGAAGAATTTGTGATTTGATTTCCATTTGTGGAACCAGTTGAACTGGATATTTCCTATCAGATATTTACTTAAATAAATATTGTTATAGACTGTATAAAAATAGAAGATGCTGGCATGCAGACTTCCCTGTAAGGGTGGTCCCCAAAACTTGCTCTCTCCTGGATGTTTATCGCTGACTGATGTTCAGACCAAAAGTACCATAAGCAAAATGACCGTCAGAGTTCAGAAGTGCCACATTCCCTGCTCTTACCACCAGTTCTGTTTACATTAGATATCAGAATTTGGAATTAAACTATTAATGGTATGTTGCCAAGCCATCATATTATTAATGTAAATCAGTTTCAGAATTAACTACTAACAAGAGGGCTTAATTTTAAATTGAAGGTCTCTGGTAGCACAAACGGTTAGCGCTTGACTACTAACCTAAGGGTTAGTGGTTCAAACCCATTCAGCAGTACCATGGTGATGTGCTTCTGTAAAGATTAAAGCCAAAAAACACCAAACCCATTGCCGTTGAGTCGATGTTGACTCGTGACCCTGTAAGACATCGGGTTCAAATAGCTGACCTTTCGGTTAGCAGTCAGGTGCTTAACCACTGCTCCACCAGGGCTCCTATAAAACTTATAGCCAAGAAGACCCTATGGAGCAGTTCTATTTTAACACATGGGGTCATTATGAGTCCGTGGCAACGGTTTTTTGTTTTTTTTAAATGTTAAATTACTAAGGTTATATTCATTGAAAAAATGTTAATAATTTGGACAGTGGATAAAAACGTTAGAAAAATTCTAACATAGTCGCAAAAAACCAAAACTGGGAACTTTGGAGGAATGTAACTTTCGCCTTCTATGCCGTTCACCATGGCCTGTGGCTCTAGCACTGTCTCTCCGTGTGGTTGTAATTAGACAGGACTTTGATTTTGAACCAGAACTGTCATTGACAATAAGAGTTTCTATTGAGGAGGAAGACCCTTCATCATTCCCTCAGCAAGACTTGGAGAGAAAGACGAATTACATTTAGTGAAGTCCATATTCCATGGGTGCAAAAACTCACATTGTTTCGCATTGTAACATCTCTGAAATCGTGATGCATCTTATGATTGATGGCGTTTTACAGTTGCGGCAGTTGGGATGTGTTATCACTGCTTGCACATGCACAAACTTGGTGGTGGTTCCTGGAGGGATGACTTAGCAACCGTCATCTTCATGTTTTTGTCTACAAATCATATAAGGACAATTTGGAAAAGAAACATATTTCTTGTTGTCTGAAAACATTCCATGAACACCTTCAGATAAAATCAAGAAAGAACTAGCATCAAAACTTGTAGAATAGGTGAATCAAATAGGTACAATACTGATCCGCAACTGATCATGGGGATGCTGCAGGACGGGGCAGCATTTCATTCCGTTGTGCATGGGGTCACCATGAATCGGGGCTGGATGGACAGCAAGTAACAACAACGAATGAGAGGAGTCACAGCTTGCAGTTCCTACCCTTGTTCCTTGTTGATGGAGATCTGGGGAGACATGCAAATGGCTGTGTGGGCACCCTTGGAAGCGGGTGTATAGGGCTTTGGCACACCAGCCAGGGTCTCACTGGGCAGTAAGGCCCGGATAGCCCTTGGGGAGCTACTGGCTTTCAGGGCACCATGCGGACCGGAGCAAGGAGATCCTAGTGATAGTCCCCATGGATTGCTAACCAGGGCCTCTTTTGCTGCTGTTTTAACCTGGAGTCCTGAACTGCCCAAGGGAGGGGTATGGAGACACGACCAAAGAAAGAAAAATAGATGAGGGTAGTCTTCTCTAGGTACCTTGGGACCTGGGCTGGGACCATGTTGGATTGGCTTTGGAAACTATAGAATAGTTACAGCAGCAAAGCATAATAGCTATGCACAGATCTAAAGTTATCCTGTCTGAATTTGAATTCTGGCTCTGACACTAGCTGGGATGGGGTTGCTGATAGGACCCACCTCACAGGATCCCTGCTGGCAGGATTAAATGTGCCTGGTACATGTTGTTAGGTGCCATCAAGTTGGTCCCGACTCATAGTGAGCCTATGTACAACAGAATGAAACACTGCCTGGTCCTGTGCCATCCTCACAATCTGCTATGTTTGAGCCCATTGTTGGAGCCATTGTGTCAGCCTGTCTCCTTGAGGGTGTTCCTCTTTTTCGCTGACCCTGTACCAAGCATGATGTCTTTCTCCAGGGACTGGTCCCTCCTGATAACATGTCCAAAGTACATAAGATAAAGTCTCATGAGCCTTCTAAGGAGCATCTCGCTGTACTTCTTCCAAGGCAGATCTGTTCCTTCTGGTAGTCTATGGTATACATGTATTATCATCCGTTGCACCTTGGATGCCCGCAAGATGTCGTACCTGCCGTACTCTGCATCCTCTGTGGGCTGGGATGGCTGAAGTTGACCCTGAATCTAAGACCCCATACTGAAGACTGGAGTGGGTGGCAGAGGCTGTGTGGGAGGTCTGGCCTAAGAGGTTTTCCTGCCCCAGGTGGCAGCAGCAAGTGTATTAAGTCCCTAGTGGCTTCGGAGGGCCGAGGATCTTCCTGGGATGTAAGCGCAGGCGCCCCACCCGCGCGGCGCGGACAAATCACTGCAAACTCCCCGAGTCCTAAGGGACCAGGGTCCTCCTGGGTTTGTCCTTATTTAATATTTGCCGGGGAAGGGGCTCTGGCACTCTTTGCACAATCGGGGGACACCTGCGAATCGGAGCCGGGAAGGTGGGCGTGGCAGGTGTGGGTGCGGCCGTCAAGGCCTTTGCCATCTGCGGGGTGGGTGGAGGCCATGGAGGCCATGGGGGCCATGGGGGCCATGGGGGCCGGGAGGAGTCGGGGCATATCCCAGTCTCCTGGCCCGGGTGGGCGTGGACGGCCCGCGGGCCGGTCCCGGGGCGGGGCTAGGGGCGGGTCTACGGGCGGGCCCAGCCTAAAGGCGGAGCCGAATGCTGGAGGCCGGCCGGGGAGGTGCACATCCGGCGGCCAGCCGTGCGCTGCATAAAGCCACCTCCGTGCAGTTGGCTTCCAGCCGCGGCCCGAGGCCCTTCTCGCCTTCAGGGATCCCGGCCCCAGTGCCTGAGAGCGGCCATGGGCGCGTCGCACTGGTGGGACCAACTGCGGGCGGGCAGCTCGGAGGTGGACTGGTGCGAGGACAACTACACCATCGTGCCTGCCATTGCCGAGTTCTACAACACGGTGCGGGGCCGGGCGCGGGGTGCAGCCGGGCTGGCGGGAGGGGCTGTTCCCGTGCGCCGCGCCTGGAAGAGGGACGTGGGGAGCTGCATGTATCTGGGGCATTCTCTCTCCAGGGCCGGAACCGGCCCACGCCCCCTCCTGCGTACTGCTCCCAGTTCTCCATCCGTCCTCCTCTCCTGCCCCGGTCCCCGACGTCTGGGCTCATCTTCCTCCTCCTGTCATTTCCTTCGTATGGCCCTATTGTCTTGTTTGGTCCTCACAACTACCTGAGTCGGGGGTCCCGGCCAGCCCATTCCCCCAATTTGGGTCAGTTGGGAGCGGTGATCCTGCCAGGACAAGTCCCTTCCTCCCCTATGATCAGTCTGTCGTGACGCACTTGGGTGGCATTGTGCGCTTGTGCCCTGAATACCTGCTCACGGGGTCCTGGAAATGGGGAAGAGCCCTGGCGGGTCTCAGAGGCCGCGCCCACTCCCACCATGCTGACTTGCCCCACCCCCTGAATACACCAATAATGTTGTTGTGTGCAGTCTAATTGATTCGGACACACAGCGACCCTATACAGATGGAGTTATTTTTGGCCCGAATTAGGTTAATTACTACTAGTTCTTATTTTAAGAACCTTTAGTCCCCAGCCTCGCTCCAGCCCTAAATCCACCTCCCCCAGGCCGGTGTTCTCCCCAGTTCTTAAGTCTGGGTAATGAAAAGGAAGTTTGGGAATGATCATGTGCGTGCTTTCTGGACGTGTTTGAGTCCTTGGATATGGACAACAGAAACACCCCACTGCAGAATCGTGAGTGTTTTCAGACTTCGTGGGAGGGAAATGATGTAGCTGGGAGAGGAAATGCCTCTTTTTTTCACTGAGCCTGTGGGTCAGCATTCTGTTATGAATGTAAAACTCTGCACGGTCATTTCTGCAGCTTATCTTTTCACTGCTCCAACATGGAAAACAGGAACTCCTGGTTTAAGAGTCGTGAATTTGAGGTTGTTATTTAGGATTTTCCCTCTGGATTTGCTGGAGAGAAGAAGTATCCGGCATTAAGTCAGGTGCTTCTTGCCTGAAGGAATCTCAAATGGTCTAGTCCCGCCCTTTCATTCATATGATGAAGAGACTGTGCTTGAGGGGAAAGATGATGTATCAGAGGTCCAGAAGTCTTAACACTCCCTCTCTTCAGTGCTGAAGTCCATGCTACCTGACACACAAACACACACTTTCTTGCTTCTTTATGACTAGGTTAGTTCCTCACAAAACCCTGGCCCTCTGCCTGGTGGATACAGTGGAAGATGCAATTATCAGAGGTGGCCACACCTCACCTATTGTACAACCTCTTGAGGAGGATGCTATCAGGTGTAGACAGGTGCACACAGAGGATGGGCTGGTGCAGGGGTGGGTACTTTCAACAAGAAGAAATACCAGCCATAACTCAGTTTCTCCATTTGTACATGGAGAATACAATGAAGTACTAACGTTTTCACCTGGGTGGCGCAAATGGTTTTCACTTGACTAGTTCTGTTCAGTAACACATGGAGTTACCATGAGTCGGAATTGACAGCAACAGGTATGGTGCCTTGATTTTTACTAACTTAAAGATTGGCTGTTTGAACCCACCCAGCGGCACCAAGGAAGAAAGGCCTGGTAATCTGCTTCCATAAAGACCTATGGGGCAGTTCTACTGTGAAACGCGTCGGGTTGCTCCATGAGTCAGAATCAACTAGATGGCAATGGATTTGGTTTTATTTTGATTTCACCAGGGTTACGGGAGTGATGACAGCTTGGTGACAGGCTCTCACACTCCCCACAAGGTAATTATCTGTGGAATCTGAGGCCTGCAGAGAGAGTCAGGCCTGATTATTTGGGGCAAAAAGTTAGTGTATCAATGGCTGTTCTGAGCCTGCCTTGAAAAGACCCAGAGCTCTGGATGAAAGGTAGAGTTTATTTTGTCTTTCCTTTTAATCTAGTCCCACTGGAGCTGTTTGTTATGTAGTGTGCGCCAAAGTCCTTTTTAGAAATGAACTGTTGATCTTCAACTGCAGTGGCCGTGGCTGATTAGCCCAACTGGTTAGTCTGACAAGCCTTATTCCTTGTAATATCTGTGAACCACAAACTTTGCTCCGGCAAAGTGGAGAGATTAAGGTCTCAGAGAAGTAGTTGATCACCCAACTTTGTTGAATGTAGGCCCAGAGAGTTTGGCAAAAAAACATTTCCTCCCCTCTGTTCCCATGGCCCTAGTTATCTTCTGATGATTATCACAGAACATACCATGCTTATCTTACTCCTGTAGGGAGGAAGATAGGAAACTATTACTCAGTGATAAACATCCTCTTAACATCCTCATAACAAGGCAGCACCTCTAATTACCCATTTTATAAGAAACCAATATCATTATCAATTTTGAGAAAAAGTTAAAGGAATTGAAGATGTTAAATCTGGAAAAAACTGGGCAAGGGTATCTAGAACCTTCTTAATGGGACTTAGGGATATCACATCACTACTACAAATTCAGTTAGTACTACCCGCTGCTGTAGAGTCGATTCCAACTCATAGCAACCCTGCAGGACAGAGTAGAAATGCCCCATAGGGTTTCCAATGGTGTAAATCTTTAGGAAAGAGACTGCCACATCTTTCTCCTATGGAGCAGCTGGTGGGCTTGAAATTCTGCCCTTTGGTTAGCAGCCGAGTGCTTAACCACCGTGCCACCAGGGCTCCTTTCAGTTACTACTGACTATAGCTATCTGGCCAACGGACTGGAAGAGATCCATATTTGTGCCCATTCCAAAGAAAGGTGATCCAACCAAATGCGGAAATTATCAAACAATATTGTTAATATCACATGCAAGTAAAATTTTGCTGAAGATAATTAAAAAATGGTTGAAGCAGTACACAACAGGAAACTGCCAAGAAGTAAAGTTGGAATCAGAAGAGGACGTGGAACAAAGGATATCATTGCTGATGTCAGATGGATCTTGGCTGAAAGCAGAGAATACCAGAAAGAGTTTACCTGTGTTTTATTGACTATGCAAAGGCATTCGGCTGTGTGATGAAGATGAAGATCAAAGACTACAGCTTTCAGTATGGATTATAGCTGAACATAAAACAAAAATCCTCACAACTGAACCAATAAGCAACATCATGATAAACGGAGAAAAGACTGAAGTTGTCAAGTATTTCATTTTACTTGGATCCACAATCAATGCCCATGGAAGCAGTAGTCAAGAAATCAAATGACGCATTGCATTGGGCAAAAAGACCTCTTTAAAGTGTTAGGAAAAAAAAAAAAAGCAAAGGTGTCACTTTGAGGACTAAGGTGTGCCTGACCCAAGCCATGGTATGTTCGGTCACCTCGTGTGCATGTGAAAGCCGGACAATGAATAAGGAAGACTGGAGAAGAATTGATGCCTTTGAATTATGGTGTTGGAAACGAATATTGAATATACCATGGATTGCCAGAAGAAGGAACAAGTCTGTCTTGGAAGAAGTACAGTCAGAGTGCTCCTTGGAAGTGAGGACGGTGAGACTTTGTCTCACATACTTTGGACATGTTACAGTAGGGACCAGTCCCTGGAGAAGGACATCATGCTTGGTAAGATAGACGGTCAGTGAAAAAGAAGAAGACCCTCAGTGAGATGGATTGACACAGTGGCTGCAACAATGGACTCAAACATAGCAATGATTGTGAGGATGGCGTAGGATCGGGCAGTGTTTCTTTCTGTTATACATAGGGTCACTATGAGTTGGAACTGACTTGGCACTTAAAAACAACATTATATCTATATAGATGTCCATACACACATGTACACATATATGTATACACACACGTATACATATACATATATGATACACGTGTATGTGTGTATATTTTTTCATGTATATCCCAGACCAGTTACTGTTGAGTTGACTCCTACTCATGGCATCCTCATGTGTGTCAGAGTAGACTGTGTCCCATAGGATTTTCAATGGCTGATTTTTTGGCTTTTCTTCCAAGGAGCCTCTGGGTGGACTTGAACCTCCAAGCTTTTAGTTAGCAGCTGAATGCATTAACTGTTTATACCACCTAGGGTCTCCATTCATATGTATATCAAATAAATAAATGAATGAATATATATATATATATATATACACATACATACATACATATATATACATATATATGTATAACATTTACTGTGTGTCCATCACAGAGACCAGATCTGTCAGCCATCATCTGGGTGGTGAGGGCCATAACAGGTGTGCACAAGATGCTAAGGGAGTTATTAATACTCTGTGTGGGGTTGGTGTAATGTGTGGGGTCGTGGATTTTGCAAGAAGGCCTCTGAGCAGGGTCACCAACTTGTCCTGATTTGCCTGGGACTTTCTTGGTTTTAAAACTGAAAGTCCCACTTCCCAGGAACCCTCTCAGTCCAAGCAGATGGGACAGTTGGTCATCCTCCGTCAGAGAGGTGATCAGAGTAGGGCTAAACTTTGAAGGAGGCAGGAGGGGAGCAATAGAGTGGATTGTTATGAATCTGCATACAGTTAAGAAGTCCCAGCCATCTACTAAGCCAGGGCAAAGCTCCTTAGCCATTTGGCAAGCCACGGTTCAGAAGATTTACAGCCTGTTGCTTTGTCAGTATTTACCCTCTGTCTGGGAGAGCGACAGATGCATAGGATGAGATTGCAGTATGTTCAGGCAATTATGCCTGAGCCAGTGTTATGTAGGAATTCATAGAATGAGGAAATAGCTAAGGAAATCATTTTAATGCATTTTAAAATTGTGGTTTCCTTTCTTTTTCTTTTTTAAATTGTAGTTTCCTTTTAATTAAAAAGAAAGAAAAAAATCTGTTCTGCAGGCATTAAGCAAACCAATTCTCCAAAGGATAACCCAACAATGGGCTTTAAAAAATACACGTTGGCTGAACTGTTCTTCAACTTTAGTGATCCACACACTTTGAGGAGGAGTTTCATTTCTCAGCAGAGCAGAGGTCAGAGTCTGTCTCTTAATAATGACTCGGTTGCTTTTCTGTATTTCTTTCAGAGTTCCTTCCTTTTTTTGTCTTGAGTATTGGCTCTCTCTAACTTGGTCTTTTCCTTTTCGTATATTGGTGTCCTTAAAAAGGACAGTAGAGGCCAGCAGGGCTTGTTGGATGGGCTATGCAGAAGCAATGATGTGATTTCTATGTTATTTGGGAGCATGTGCTAGAATGGTGCTTTCAAATTGAGTTCCCTAATGTGCATTTAAAAATAATGCTTGAAGTGTCATAATTTTATTGCAGGTGTAATAAACTACTTTGTGCTTCTGTGAATGATGTATAAATACATTTAAAAGTGATTAATGCACATATTGCTGGTGGTCATATAAACTAATAGGGGCATTTGTGGGGCAGCTTGGCAATAGAGAGATAGTTGCACTTGGCTGAAGGCAGGGAGATTGAGAGGACTTGAGGCAATAAAGATGTATTCAGAGTAAAAAGCAAAATATGCTCTAGTCTTCAACATGGTAGGTGGAACTGTAAATTGGTGCTCCTTCCACAGGGGGATGGCTAAACTGCTGCCACCTGCAGCCGTGACAAGTGAGGTAAATTTGCATAAACTAGAATGAAAAAGTTTGCAAGGCATATTGTTGAATGAAAAAAGGAAGTGGCAGAATGATAATGTTACAATATGTGTGTTTTCTATGGATATATATTTCTATGTATATATATATATGTATATATACTCCCCCAAAATAAATAAATAAACCCCCCAAAACCAGGTGCCATCAAGTCAATTCTGACTCCATATGTGCAGAGTAGAACTGAGCTCCGTAGGATTTTCAAGGCTGTGGCCTTTTGGAAGCAGATTTCCAGGCCTTTCTGCCAAGGCAATTCTGTGTGGGTTTCAGCCACCAACATTTTGGCTAGTAGTTGAGCACTTAACCATTTTCGCCACCCAGGAACTCCTGGATATATATGTGTGTATGTGTGTGCATATATATATCTATGTAGATATACATATATATATATATATGGAGCCCTGGTGGTGCAGCGGTTAAGAGCTCGGTTGCTAACCAAAAGGTCGGCAGTTCGAATCCACCAGCCGCTCCTTAGAAACCCTATGGGGCAGTTCTACTCTGTCCTAGAGGGTCACTATGAGTCAGAATCGACTCGATGGCAACAGGTTTTATATATATATGTGTGTATGTATATAAACTGAAAAAAAAAAAAAAAAAAAAAAAAAAAAAAAAAAAAAAAAAAAAACGCAAAAAACTAAACCCACTGCCATCGAGTTGATTCTGACTCGTAGTGACACTGTAGGGTTTCCAAGGCTGTAAATCTTTACGGAAGCAGACTGCCACATCTTTCTCCTGTGGAGCGGCTGGTAGGTTCAAACCGCTGACCTTTTGGTTAGCAGCTGAGTGATTTAACCACTGCACCACCAGGGCTCCTATGTGTACATACATATGCAAGGAAAAGACTTGCAGACTATGAATCTGATAACAGTGGTCATCTCTGAGAGGAAAATAGAAAGGAGACTTTAGCTTTGTAATGTTTTCCTTTTTTACAAGACACATTCATGTACATGAAAGGGGAAAAGATCACGTTTTAAGCTAACCATGGTATAACAAATCCATTTTTTTTCCTCCTCCTCCTTCTTTTCCTTCCCCTCCTTTTTTTCCTTCTACTTCTATGTTTAACAAAAGGTAAACCACAGTTAAATTCTGTAATGGGTTATATGTCTGTAGTGTGTGATGCAATTCAGAATTTCTATTTGCCCATAGAGGAGGTTAGCCAAGGCAGTCTGAATATGCTTGGATGGGTTGGAGGTGGAAATCAGCTTGGAGCCGTAGAAGAGCATAAGGTCAGGAGTCAGCTGGCTCCATGCTGGCCCTGGCTGTGTGGCTGGTGATTGCCTTTCTGATCTTGGCCAGCCTTGGAGCCTTTCTGTGTCCTCAACTATGTCCCCTTGTAAAACAAGGGAAGATCTTTAGGATTCTTCCTTTTCACTGTTAAAGATTTCTGATTTTTTAAACGGATGCCATAGAAAGGTAAAGGCTGTGATAATAATAATGAACACAGCCTGCTACTTAGGCAGCACTTACACTTGTGCCGATGCCTCCTTACTTGTTCCTTAGTAAATGAGCATTGGCCATGTTTCCAAAACTTGAGACCTGCCTACCACCTGGGACATCTGAGAAAATGAATCCATACTCCCACCCAGGGTCACCATTCGCTCATAGGACTCCTGTGTGGGAAAGAGAAAAAGATCCCCTTCTAAAAATTCTTTTCTGCAATGGAATGGATAGTTAAAGTTATCTGCATACAATTAAGAAGCAGGATTATTATAATTATAATAATTCTGAAATTATAATAATTATAAGAAATTATTCTTGTTATCGGTGAGTCCACACTAGGGATTTCAGCCCTGGGTTTCAGCCAAAGGCAGTGACCCTGCTCCCATCCCACCCTGACAAAGGATCGTGTTCTTCTCCCGGGTTTTATTTCTCTCCCAACCTTCACTCTTTCCTCTCTAAAAACTGTCACTCCCAGACCCCTCTTGGTCTAGATGGTGACGGAGGCGTGTGTTGGCCACTGAGGTCGCCATTACCTGCACTATGCCTCAAGTACTATGGTTAGCTGATGCATTTTGTTTGTTTAGTTGGACACCAGTGTGATTTCTTGGATGTGGTAAAGCCCTCCTGCCCTGCCCCAACGTTCAGCCCACTTCAGGCATCCACCCTCACCGTTCTTTGGAGACATCGTCTAAGGTGAACTTTCTGTATTGTCCGACATGGGTGACCACTTCTTTCTTCTGAAAGTCCCTGGTCCCCTTGGCTTTCTGGACTTTATCTGCTCCCTCCGCCTGTCTTTGAATGTTTTCTTTTTGATATTTTTTTGTGCACCCTCTCTCCCCTATCCCATCCCCATGGTGTTGCTCACTTAGACTCAGCTCTTGTTTTCATTTCTGCATGGTTTCTTGACACTACACAGAGTCCTTTACAAGGACCCCTCATTCCACGATCAGAACAGAGATGCTGAAACCCACACTGAAGGAAAAAGATTACGTTGTTTTAAAGCTGGGAGGGAACTTAGAAATTTGGTCTTTACCTAAAAATAGGATTTGATGAGGGTAACAGAGCTGACCAAAGGCAACTAACGGAGAAATTAGGAGAAATCGTCTCCATGTGGGTCAAGGAGAAAGGCTGGCCTTGCTGGTGAAAAATTACTGAAGACTGGAACGTGGCTAGTCCTTCTCACTTCTTCATTAAACTTTGTTTTTACTCTTATAAGTATAAACCTTATCATTAAAAAATTTGTGCAAATAAATTATGATACTTCATAATTAGACTGTGCAGAGAAAGAGTAGTTGATTCCTTTAGTTAAGAGAGGAGCCTGGGCAGCCTTCATAGACTGCAGCATTGTTATAGTTGCTCCTGTGATCAAAGAAGGAGCCCTGGTGGAACAGTGGTTAAGCACTTGGCTGCTAACCTAAAGGTCAGTGGTTTGAACCCATTTCTCCAGTTGCTCCGAGGGAGAAAAGACCTGGCAATCTGCTCCCATAAAGATTACAGCCTAGGAAACCCTTTGGGGCAGTTCTCTGTTATATAGGGTCACTGTAAGTTGGAATCGACTTGATGGCACACAATAACAACGACGATAAAGAAAGGAGTCTCTTGGTGGTGCAGATGGTTAAGAGCTTGGCTACCAATTGAAATATTGGTAGTTTGAGTCCCCCCACAGATGCCTCAGAAGAAGGGCCTGGCGATCTGTTTATGAAAGGTCCCAGCCTTGATATACCCTATGGAGCACAGTTCTTCTCTGAAACAGAAGAGGTCGCCATGATTGGCAACTGGTGTGATCAAAGAGGAAGCAAGGAACTCCTCAGCTGGTCATTTAAGAAGTTTTAAGTTTCCCGGGTTATGTATCTGCAATCAAAAAAAGTGTAAGAGCTTAAACAAGATGTATGGCCACATCCATTCCCATTTGCAAAGGATTCACTTGAGACAAGCTGCTTTATTTTTTGCCTTTTTTTTTTTTTTTTTTTTGCCTGGAGTTTTACTTAATATGCATCTTGTCATTTTACATTTCTTCCTCCCAGATCAGCAACGTCTTGTTTTTTGTTTTGCCGCCCATCTGCATGTGCTTGTTTCGGCAGTATGCAACATGCTTCAACAGTGGCATCTACTTAATATGGACTCTTTTGGTTGTAGTGGGTAAGTGAATTAGTTTGTGAGCCTGGACCGCAAGGGAGGAAATGGAATTCCGCATACTTCCTGTCCCCTTTGAATATTATATTTTATAAACCAAAGTTACTCTGACGTCTTAGCAAACTTTTTTTTTCAGCTTGCTTGATGTCAGAAGAAGGGCACTGTTGAATGCGGGCTTGATAACAAGTTTGGCTCTACCTACCGCTTAATTGCATTTGAGAATTCATTGCTGTGATAGCTCTTAGTGTTTTATCAGTGCGGTTTTCCGAGAAAGCTGTGTGAAACAGCTGAACTCTGGTGCAACAGTAGTTTCTCATGGCCTTAAAAAAAAGCTCTAGATGTTTGATCCTTCATTGTTCTGTGAAATACTTGTGTGATTTCCATTTCCTCCTGGTTGGGAATTCATAACAGTGAGAGAATGTTGTCATTTATTTACTGCCTGTTTCTATGAAGGCTCAGTGGATGGAGACAGAGTGTGTTATTAGAATTCTGATGTGCTGATATTTGGGCCGTACTTGAAAGCCTCTCTCTAGACTTGGAGTCTGCATCCCTGGGTGGTATGAGTTTCTTACTTCAGTATCTAGTTTCAGAGAGAGAGCGATCTGGTGATTGTGATAGCAGTAGGTAAGGGGCTACCCTTAAGCAGTGTATTGAATTTGTGAGTATCTCCTGCTGTGGTGACCTTCTTATTGGTTTGTGATTGGTTCTAGGAATTGGATCTGTCTACTTCCATGCAACCCTCAGTTTCCTGGGTCAGATGCTTGATGAACTGGCAATTCTTTGGGTTCTGATGTGTGCTCTGGCCATGTGGTTCCCCAGAAGGTATCTACCAAAGATCTTTCGGAATGACAGGTAAGCTTATGCTAAATATTTTTGTATTTATCAGCAGGTGCAGCATCTGATATAGTGATGTATATATGAAGAACAACAGCACGTGATTTAGCCCAGCCTAGTGATGAGCTTATTATATATTTATTTATTATCCACTGATTGGCTATGATCTGACAGTTTAAGTAAATGAACAGATAAAAAAAGGGACTTTTAATATGCTTGGGGAATAATTTATATGACATTAAGGGCAAAAAACCAAAATATCTCCTTTATTTGATATGAAGAAGAGTGGAAAGATTTTCGATGGAGGAGAAATTGTTTGATGGTAGTTCAAAGATCTTCTTTGATTTCCTGTGAGAACATTTCCCTGAGCCTAATCCAACTCCACTAGTTTATATGTCTGAAGAAGAATGGGTTCTTGGAGCTATACTTTAGTTTTTCAAATTGCATTGTTGTTGCTTCGGATGAGAGCTACACACACACACACACACACACACACACACACACACACACAC